GAAGGATAATCACTTCCTTGTTCAAGTCTAAATCAATAGCGGTTCTCGCAAATAATGTAATTTTTCTGGTGTCTTTTTCCCAATCCTCTAAATAAATAGAAGTATAAAGAAAGATGTGAATCGGAATTCTGATAATTCATGTTGATAGTACTTTACCCGCTAATATTTTTGTCCTCTTGTAACGAATTGATTCAGCAGAGGGTGAGAGTGGCCGTTGCCCTGCAGAAACGAGAAAAAGCGCAAAAACAATAAAGGTTAGCGTCACGTTCGAGTTGATCAATCATTACGACGCAAAGGCGCTTACCTTGATGTTCATCTAAATTGGGTTAGGAGGCCAGAAAAGGCAAAGTTAGTTTCCGGACAAGAAATATCATTACGACACAAAGGATGTTCATCTAAATACATACCGGATATAAAATCTTTCAAAAGACTCATCTTAGATTCTTTTGTCTGGAGACTTTGGAGGGCTAAAAATAATTCTTCTCTTACTTCACGATTTTTCATTAAACAAACTATTAGTTTATTCTTTTGCGTTTCTTCGATACCAAAGCCATCAATAACTTCATAGATATTCGACATGTTACTAAAGATATGTTTTTGATTTGAAAGAAAAAATATATATAATGAAGAAACGAAGATATGTTTTTGGTTTTGAAAGAAAAAAAAATATAATGAAAACGAGAGGTTTATGTTAGACTTATTGACTATATTGACTATATATGTGATTTTGTAATAAACTTTCATTAATGTGAACACGTTGTAACTATTAAACTATTAAACTTCACTGATTATTAATTGAGAACGCGTTTTGTAGTCAGAACTCAAAAGTATGTAACATCGGTTCATCTGTTGATAAAAATACAATTATTTTCTGACAAATATCTAAAAAATTCGAGTCATAGTGAAATACACCATATAATACAATACATTTTCTGATCGTGTACTACGAATAACGCAAAATGACATTCAAATTAAACAAATATTGCCTTTCCAGCAGAATATGTATGTCAATATACAAGAAAGGAAATCCACTCAAGGTCTATGCAGATATAAATAAATTCAGTAAATTTCTGGAGTTTTGTTGAAATAATATATTTCAAGGTAAGTATATCTTGTATAATTCTTACTTTCTCTTAAAAAGTTTTTTTAACATTATTTTTCTTCTTTAGCAAATAGTTTTTCAAATGATAAAGGTGATCAATGATTTCTTGAATAGAAAAAGTAATGTGAAATAGAAAAATAAGTAAAATCAAAACAATTAATTCTTAATATTCATCTAATATTAAAGAAAAAGAAAACAGTAAGAGGTTAAAAAAGCTATTCAAGAATAGATAGTTATTATATCACCATTTCTATAAAATTGATTGTTTCAATGATATTTCTTCAGAAATTTTTGGTTTAAAATTTAATTAAATTTTATTAATTATTATCTCATTCAGTTTATTTTAAATTACATGACTTAAATTAATTATATAAAAGTTTCATTTTTATAATTAAATTTCTGTCAAATAATTATATCTTAATTTAAACCTAATTATAATTATTAAATGATAGAATAAATTCTTAATTTTAAAAGAAATTACTAACAAACTAAACTAAATCTTTCTTAAGAATATACTAAGAAAATTCATTAACAAATAGTTTTGATTTACTTATATCAATAGTATTATAACAATAATTATTACTATAGACTTTTTTAATTGTAATTTTCTTATATAAAGATATGAAATGCTTTAAAAAAGAACAGATTTCAACATTATATTTAATAAATATTTAATAATAATAATAAATAACAATAATATTTTATAAATATAAAATTTATAATTAGTTAATTAAACAAATTTTCTAATTAATATCATGTCAAATTAATTGGATTTAATTTATAAATACTGTCTTCCTGACTTCAAATTATAGTTAACTTATTTTCAATAGAATAATGTTAATAATGTAAAATATTTTTATTAATTTTTTAACTTAATATATTGAATTATAAAGTTAAATTTGAAAAAATCTTTATTTTTAATTTATGTATTTATATTTAAGAAATTAACCATTATTATGTAAAAAATTTAGATCTATTAATAAGATATGAGATTTTTACAATAGAAAAGATGAAAATTATTAGTAAAGCAATTTAATTTTTATATGTTAAATATGATTTTTTAAATCAAAATATATTCAAATTTAACATTAATTTATTTTTTATTTTTTTCAATTGTTTTTCCTTTTATTATAAAGTTTTCATATTACTTTTTTTAATTGAATAAATTAACTATAATTTGAAGTTATTATTTATTATTATTATTAAATATAAATTAATTTTTATTTATTTTTATTTTTTATTCTTTATTTTAATTATTTATTTATTTTTTTGTTAATGTTTTTTTTATTTATTTTTTTTTATTTTTTTATTTTTATTTTCTTTTATAGTTTTTACTTTTTTTAATTTCTTTTTTAATTCTTTTAGTTTTTTTTTTACTTCTTTTTTGTCTTTTTTTTTCTTTTTTATTTATTTTTATTTATTTTTTAGTTTTATTTATTTATTTTTATTTTTAAGTTTTTATTTGTAATTTTTATTGTAATTTTTCATTATAGTTTTGTTGTAATTTTCGTTTGTATTTTTGTTTTTTATTTTTGTTTTTCTTTTTTATTTGTTTTGCTTTTTTATATTTTATTTTTTTTACTTTTTTTTTATTTTTTATTTTCTTTTAATTCCCCCTTCCCCCCCCTTTATTTTTTTATATTTTTTATTTTTTTTATTTTCATTTATAATTTCTCTATTCTACCTGTCTTTTTTTTCTTTTTTTTTATAATTCCTCTTCAGCTTTATTTTTAATTTTTTTTTTAAAATTTAAAATTTAATTTAAATATAATTTGAAACTTGATTTAAACTTAATTTGACTCAAATAAATTCAAGTCAAAATCAAGTTAAGTAAAATCAAGTTGAGTTAAATTAAATTAAGTTTAAAATTTATATAATTCAAATTAAATCAAGTTGAAAGATTTTATAAAATAAATTTGACTCGAATTGATTTGAAAAAAATGAGTTGAATAGAATTGATCTTTAAACTTGACTTGATTCAACTCATTCAGAACTTTAACTTAAGTGATAAATATTAAGTTCAAATTAATTAATATTATTAAATGATGATCTCATAATAAATTACTAAATGATATCCATTAAAATTCCATTATTAATGATCATTGCTAAAAAAAATATACATCAAATATTAATACTTATTAGATGCTAAAACTGGCAAAAACTGATGAATCTGTCAAATATAACATATATACCAAATATAACATATGAGGCCTTTGCAATAGAAAGGGAGGAAACTCAAAAAAAAATAAAAAATGAGTTAATAATAAATCTGAACAAATTATAGTATTTAGAACATTTTTGGCTTATAAACTAAAATTTTAATTTTTTTGGAGTTTCCTCCCTTTCTATTACAAAGACCCCATATATGTTAAATATGATATATCTGCTGAATATACCATATCTGTTAAATAGGACACACATACTATTTATTATATTTCTATTATTTATATCATTATTATTATTTATATCATAATTAAAATATCTATTAGCTCTGTTATTATTGTTAGTAGTATCATAATTATCCTAGATTTTCTTTAATTATAATTTTTCTATATAAAGGATATGAAAATACCTTAAAAAAAGATAGATTCCAACAAGATTTCAACATTGTATTCAATATACATTTAATAACAATAATAAACAACATTAACATTTTGCAAACATAAAACTTATAATTATATTCTTGTTAACTAAATAAACTTTTTAATAAATAGCGTGTTAAGTTAATTGGATTTAAGTCATAGTTATTGTCTCTCTAACTTCAAATCATAGTTAACTTATTTGACAGAAAGAGTAATGTTAATAATACATATCATTCCTAAAAATTTCAGACAATTTATAAAGAAAATTTCTTTTTTTGTTTAAGTTCAACTTTATAAAGGTTTAGTTATATAAAAATATTTTGTATTCTTATTTATAAAAAAAAGTTACAATAAAATTTTTTAATAGAATTAAAAACTGTGATAAAAATTATAAAGTTTTATATTAAAATTCATAAGTTAAGAGAATTTTATATACATAAAAATATCTTTTAAATGCAATTATACTTAAAAATTATATTTAATAAGGGATATATTTCTTTTTTTTTGAATATATATTTAATTATAATAAAATTTATATTATAAAATTAGATTTATAATCATAGTTAGCTAAGATCAACCTTAATATTTAAAAATAATACAAAAATTTTTGATTTAATTTAATTAATTATTTTATTTTTTCATTATAAATTCATTTTCTAATTTCAGTTTTATTTTCTTTTTTTAATTTTTTTTATTTTTATTTTTTATTTTCTCTTTAATTATTTTTATTTTTTATATTTTTTATATTTTTTTATATTTTTTTTTTTACTTTTTTTCATGTTTTATTTTTGTTTTTATTTCATTCATTTCATTTTTCATTTTTATATTTTTTAATATTTTTATATTTTGTTTTACTTTTTGTTTCATTTTTCTTTTATTTTTGTTATTTTTTACTATTTTTTTATTATTTTTTTTTTTTATTTTGATTTTTGTTTATTTATTTTAGTTTTTTATTTTTTTATTTTTTTATTTTGCTTTTTATTTATATTTTTAAAATAAATAAAAAATAAAAAAAAAATAAAATGAAAAATTTTGTTTTTTTTAGTTTTTATATCATGAATGACTTTTATTTTCAAAAATATTTTATTTTAAGTCAAAGAATCAGAAGAAACTTTTGAATAAAACTATTTAGTTCATTACTACAGTAAATGTAAGTTGATTAATATTTATTATTATTTTTTTCATTTTAATTTTTTAGATTAATTATATCAGTTTACTTATTTAGTTACATAAGGTTTTAACAAATTCTTTGGTTTTTATTAGTATTTATCATTACTTTAAATATTAGTAATCATAATCATTATATAACTAATTTATTTTTTTATATATATTTACATAATAAAAATTATAAAAAACTTTACTTTATTTATTTATGATTCTTTTATCAAATTATTTTTTATTTAAAATCATATATAAACAATTTTTATTCCTATTAATATTAATATTGAATATTGAAAATTGTTAATAAAAAGGCTTATAGTTCCTGCATGAAACTAACCAAATTTATACCTGTTTCTTCCTTTTTTGGAACAACTATAGCTAACACTATATAAAGTGTAATCACCTGACACCTACAACTATATGGCATGATCTGTATATAGTGTTAACATGTGATGTTGATATAACTATAGTTTTATTGTTTTTTACTTTTATTTTTTATTTGTAACATAAGTTTAATAAACTTGTACACCGTTAAAAAAAAAAAAAAAGTATATAACTATTTTAATATGATTTTGAGCTGATTCTATTGAACCGTCCCCATCCCTATCTGTTATAAGGACACCAATTGGCGGCCGCATATCAACCGATTCTAGTTAATCAAACCTGTTAAAATTATAACGAAAATTCAAACCTATCTGTTGGTTCAAAATCAATGATTTTTTTATCCAAGCAAA